GGGGCCTGGGCTGCCCGATCCCAGTGCTGCAGGACCAGGACAGGACACCGCAGCACTGGGGTTTACCCCACACCGGGCTGCAGAGCGGGGCCGGGCAGCACCGCACCCCACGTGTGTGTCCGGGGGGTCCCACCGGGCTGTGGTGATGCCACTTCTCCCCGGGGACGATGGAGGGCAGGACAGGGGTCTGCTCTAGGGCCACCTCCCCTCTCCTGCCCTGTCCAGGGGAAGGGTCTGTCCACGGGGCCCTGCAGGTGCCCCACGCTGTGGAGAAGATCGGGTGGGGGTCAGCCCCTCCATGGGGCCAGCACAGGCCCGATCGTCCCGTCCCTCCCAAATCCCTGTGCCACGGGGCAGGGACCCTGGCTCTGCCCGGCTCTGCCCGTGGCACTGGCACGGTGTCCCCGAGGCAGATGTGTTCAACAAAACATGTCCCCCGGGCAGCCCCCGGCCGTGGTGGCCCTGCCCCTAATCGCCCCCAGGACCGGGCTGCGGTGACAGATAGGGGTGACACGTAGGAAGGCGGTGATATTTAGGCAGGGCGTGTCATAAGGACAAAGTGACATAGAGGGACAGGGTGACATGTCGGATGGGGTGACCTGCCGGGACAGGGTGACATAGGGATGGGGTGACATGGAGGGGCAGGATGACATGGAGGGACACAGTGCCATGTAGGGCAGGGTGACATGTAGGGCAGGGTGACACGTGGGGCAGGGTGACACACGGGGCAGGGTGCCATGTAGGGACGGTCCCTCGCCCACAGGTGTCAGCACCAGACCGGAGCGTGCTGCTGGTGGCCGGTGGCCTCTGGCCTGGCCTCGGGGCTGACCTTTAGGGTAGCCCAGGGCTGCCCCCAGGGCGGTGGGGCCGGGGGGCAGCGGACCCTCATTGTGCCCCTCCTGGGCCAGCCACGGGGTGTGTGGGCACTATGGGGGGCACGGGGCCACCTGCCCCACAGCAGCCCCCAAAGCCACCTGGGCAGAACCCTGAGCCCCCCACTCCCCCCCCCTTTGCTGCATGGGGGGATATGGTGCATATGGGGGGTCACACCGTGGGCCCCAGGGGACCACCGGCATTACCCCATCCATGTGCGAGGTGTGGGTTGGGGGACCCCGGGGCAGCCCTGGCTGGGTGGGGGTCTCGGTGGCATGGCCGGTGATGTCCCGGTGCGGCCGGCGGTGCGGGATGTTGCGTGGGCGGCCGAGCGCCCGCAGGGGTGGATTGCCGGGCTGAGTCACG